GGTCACAAAGGAAATGACTGTCAAAACCTGGATTTGAACCCAGAACAGGCTAACCCAAATGTCCACCAACTGATGAATGGATACATAAAATTTGGTATAACCTACAATGGAATATTATTGAGTAATAAAAAAGGAATGGAGTATTTATGCATGCTACAACATGAATGAACCTTGAAATCATGTGAAAGAAGCCAGACCAAAAAGGCGGCATACTGCATGATCTTGCTAGTGTGAAATGTTCACAATCGGAAAATCTGTAGAGATAGGAAATAGAATAGTGTTTGCCAGGGCCTGGGGGCAGAAGGAATTAGGAGTGACTGCTAATGAGTATGGGGTTTTGTTTTGGAATGATGAAAATCTTCTCATATTAGATAGTGGTGATGAATATACCAAAACCCACTGAATCATAAACTTGAAAAGGATGGATCGATTTTATGGTATATAAATTTTATCTCAAGAAAACTGTTCCAAAAATTGTATTTAAAACCAAATAATGGGCTTCCCTGGTGGCGCAGTGGATGAGAGTCCCCCTGCCGATGCAGGGGACACGGGTTCATGCCCTGGTCCGGGAAGATCCCACATGCCGCGGAGTGGCTGGGCCCGTGAGCCATGGCCGCTGAGCCTGCGCGTCCAGAGCCTGTGCTCTGCAACGGGAGAGGCCATAACAGTGAGAGGCCCGCGTACCACAAACAAAACAAAACAAAACAAACCCAAATAATGAAACATGGGGATGAATAGCTTCATTAGTTTTACTCCAGGAAAATAATTATTTTATCTTTCTGTTAATCAGCCTGAAATGATTTCAGAGAATAGCATTTTGTGTGTAAACCACTATTTTGCATGTGTGCTCGTATGTGTTTTTTCCACGAAAGGCATTCACACAGAGAGGGCTTTAATTTTTCATGGTGTTGCCGTGTTGATCTCTGAGATTTTGCACAGTAATTTTTTTTTGTTTTGTTTTGTTTTGTTTTAGTTTTTTTGGTGGTACGCGGGCCTCTCACCGCTGTGGCCTCTCCCGTTGCGGAGCACAGGCTCCAGACGCGCAGGCTCAGCGGCCACGGCTCACGGGCCCAGCCGCTCTGCAGCATGCGGGATCTTCCCGGACCGGGGCACGAACCCGTGTCTCCTGCATCGGCAGGCAGACTCTCAACCACTGCGCCACCAGGGAAGCCCTGCACAGTAATTTTGATCCTGGACTAAAAAAAGAGAGTAGGAGGGCATTTCACAAAAGAGGAAGTATGAATGGCTAATAATATAAAAAAGATGCTCTACTTCACTGAGAGAATGTAAATAAATTTAACAGTAAGCTATCACGTCACACCCTCAGACCGGCAAACACTGGAGTGGTAACAAGTGAGGAAGAGAACTCTCATACATTACTGGTGGAAGTATAAATAGTGACGGCCGTTTAGGAAAGCATTCTGGCACTCTATATTAAAATTAATAATCTGCATATCCTTTTATTCAGCAATCCCACTCCTTGTATTCTAGCCCATAGAAATAAAAGTACTAGTGCATAAGGAATAGTAACAAAGATATATTTTACAGCTTCAGAAACAATTGAGGACTAATTTAATATGTTGTGATAGTTTCATACAATATTATTTAGCCATTAAAAGAATGAATTAGATCTATATATATTTCCCTAGAAATATGTCCATGATATACAGCTAAGGGACAAAAACAAAATTCAGAGAAATATATGCACCATTCCAATTATGTAAAACAAAGTGGCAAAATGTGTTTTATATGTGCCGTATTTTTTGCATATATGCATGTATGATTCCATATACATGGGAAAAGGTATAGAAAGGTATAGAAATCATCTACACCAGGAGGTAGGTAATTTTTTTTTTTTTTTTTTTTTTTTTTTGCAGTACATGGGCCTCTCACTGCTGTGGCTTCTCCCGTTGCGGAGCACAGGCTCCAGACGCGCAGGCTCAGCGGCTATGGCTCACGGGCCCAGCCGCTCCGCGGCATGTGGGATCTTCCCAGACCGGGACACGAACCCGTGTCCCCTGCATCGGCAGGCGGACTCTCAATCACCGTGCCACCAGGGAAGCCCTGTAATTTTTGACTATATAGTTGGTGAAGAAGAGATGAGGTGGGGAGGGGAGAATGGAGTAGAGGGAGAGGAGATGTCAGTTCATAAAAACAACTGACCCAGCATGTATTATATTGTCCCATTTATGCCATTTTATATACAGAATAAATATCTGTGATTGCATGAAGATGAATAAATGAATTTAACCAAAACGACGCAAATGGATACATGAGGGTAGCAGGATTTCAGAGGATATTTTCATTTTTCCCTATAATTTATGGTATTCTTTAAAGTTTTACAAAGTTATGCATTATTTACATAATCAGAAAAAGTGACAGCACTGTTTTCAATGGGGAAAATAGATAACATAAGCAATATTTTGTTATTGTTATTTTTAAAGGCATTTAACCTGGAATACCTTTGTTAATTTGTAGGTTCAGAAATTAAAATACTTTGGAAAATATCTGGGATTGAATATTACCTTTGCTAGACTGGAAATAAAAGTTTCCATCTAATTAATAGTGTAAATCCCACATGAGGAAGAGATGTGTGTAACTCACAGACATTGGTTTTCAAAATCTCTAACCCTGGTTCTCCCGCTCAAGTCAAGGGTGTGGCATCATGAAAATGGAACCACTGAGATCCAGTATGTGGTTCTTGCTCTAGCATTCATGTCTTATGTGGTCTCAGGGCCTTCTCATTTCTGGGCCTGGAGTTTCTGATCTGTTAAGTGGCCCGGACTAGATTAGATGTTCTCCAATCTGATGGTCAGCAGACTCCCACAGCGTGAGGTCCATACCAACCATAATGAATCAGAATCTCTGGAGCTGGAGGTTAGAAGTCTATATTTTTAAAAATCCCTCAAGTCTGGAAGATTTGAGAACCACATGGAACACCATGTCACATCCAGCCACGACTCTTTAAATATCGGCTGCATTTTTTTGCTGTTACTGCCACACCCTCTTAGTGTGGAAAACAAGTCATCTCCAATGATCTGTTGCTGCTTCGGTGACTGATGCTCATGACTGACTTGATGCTCCTGATATGTACTAGTTGCAGTGGTTTCTCAAGGTCTGGGGGAGGGAGGAGAGATAGCTTTTCTTTCTGTGTTATGTGCAGCTAAGGTTGTTGAGATTGAGCAGGTACCGCCTGGACACAAGTGAATCCTTGCTGTCGTTTCCTTATCTTTGTGGTGAAAACTATGTCTGTCCTTCAGAAGTGATGAATTGGATTCTCTGGGTGTGTGCTGTATTAGTTGATCTAACTATTAATGAGATTTTTAATGTACAAATAAAATGTAGAAAACAAAAGGAGTGAAAATTTACATTTGTTACATATATTACATTCTGAAACATTATAAGTCAAATTAAACCACTTCTATTAAAAGTCTAAAGGATCTAGAACATTGTGTGTTTCAAAAAGGAAAAATGTGTCCTCTTCTTACTGCTCCATATACTCTAAATACCAAATAAAACAAAAGTACATTATGTATTTCAAATAGGGTGCTTTCTACTCTTCGATTTAGTGGAGAATGTTCACATAATAAATATCTTCTTTTGTTACTTTCTAATTCTCATAGAGTTGAAAATATAATGTGATCAGTTAAATATTCATTGGAACCCAGTGATGAACCCATTAGAAAATTTACCTTTTCATATATTTTATACTTCTATGACACATTTCAATGTGTGAAAAATGAGAGGTACGTTGTATGTTAAAAAATTGCTATTATTTTAAAATTATATTGTTAAAACAGTGTGATATATTATGTGAGGTCTTAGTTCTTTCATTTTTAACTTATTAAATATCTTTAAGAACCTATTATGCCCCAAGCATTTTGCTAAGTGCTGAAAATTCAAGGATGAACAAAACATAGTTACCATTTCCCTAGATCCTGGATCTGGTTGGTACACTGTCATACAAACAAAGAACTGTGATAAAATGTAATGAAATGGCCACAAACAAAGGCATACAAAAACTTTCACCTCATTTATAACTTCCCATTTTTCCCATTTCCCCTTAATATAATAAAGTACAATGATATATTTAAATGCTTTGTAAAGTTTGTACACTTCTAGCCACCAAATAAAATGTATTTTAATATCACTGTTGATCTTGTTTCCTATTTTAAGGAAAGGTAGCTTATAAAAATGGTATGAGTTGAATGTATTGCCTGCTAATTTTGAAATATTAGTGATTTTAAATGAAGAATAACATTTATAGAATCATATGTACATATTATATTTAATAATATGATCAAGGAATCATATATTATATTTAATAATATATTTAATAATATAATTATAAATGTCAAATTCCATTTTTTTTCTATTGGAAAGGCTTTTTAAAAAATGCTCTCTGTGGAATTTTCTCCTCTTTCTCACTCTTCTTTTCCTTCTCTCCTCAGTGCCAGTCATAGTGTTAAAGCAAATGAGGTGTTAAAAGAAATTTAAAAAAAAATAGAAATAATAACAACAATAACAAAAAGGGAAAGAAAAGAAAGTCAGAAACACAACATTGAGAAAATGCATATTTAACCAAGTCTGGGAGATCAAGCCAGATAGCACTTGGTAAATACTCTTTGAAGACAGTAATGCTCAAAGGTTGTGTTTGCTGTTGTGCTTGAAGTTTGCTTTTCGTGGGATCAAAGACACCAGATGACCAGTAATCTCACTTGCCCTTTCTTTTTCTACTCTCTGTGGGCTCTGTACACACCTCCTTTCCCCTGCAACCTTGCTTGCCCCTGGCCATCTCCCGGCTCACTTGTTCTTCTAAAGATGTCTGGGATGGTTAGGATTCAGCAGGTCACACCTTAGCCTGTCAGGGCCTGGCGCCTCCTATGCCTAGCATTAGTTCATCACTTTATTTCCCCTCCAAAGGGCCCAGTGACAAGTCTGCCTTGTTAGACATAAATCTCAGTGAGCCCAAGGCAGCCAGCAGTCTCCCGTTTGGTTACCTGTCATATCTCCTTATGTTTTGGCAGTCTGAGACACCCGTAGTTCTCAACCTCAGCCAGGGCCATGCCAAGGAGGGCGGATATAGGATAGACAACTCCACTCAAGGGCCTTTAGATTTAATCTGCACAAGGTCACCATTTACAAACTGCATAGGGTTAGACACAAATCCATGGTAAATTTTTAAAAAGTTTTAGTTTCGTTTAATTCAACTCCCCAATCATTTATTAAAGCTATGCAAGCTGAGGGAAACTGCACATGACACGTAAGTTTTACAAGTTTAACTTATCACTCATTACCAGTTTTGATCTTCACAACAACCTTGCGAGATAGATGGGTAAATATTCTTCCATTGCATTGCATTCCATTCATTTATTCATCTATTCATTCACTTAACTTTTTTTTTTTTTTTTTTAAAGAATCTACTCTATTTGGTACTGCTCTTGGATTAGAGCTACAATAAAAAGACTGATGAAATGTTGTCCTTACTTTCCAGAGACTACCTGTCTAGGAGAGGCACAGAATTAGGCAGATACTACATAGAGTAAATGCAATGACAGAGATAAGCAAAGGAGAGTATATCCAATGAGGTGAGATAAGAGGGTATATACAAGGGCTGGATGCTCCAAGGAGGTGATGCCTGAGGTGAAGTATGAAGAGAAGAGTCTGCCAGGAAAACAAAAAACCCTGACATATTTTGCCCTTCTTTTGTAATTTCATAAAACCCTTAGAGGTTCTTATTCATATCACTGCTTCTCTTCAGATGTTTCAATCCAGGTTTAATGTAGTTATGGGAACTAGGCAACGTCACTTAGCAAATAATTGGCAGAAATGGGACAAAGCAAACTCATTCTGTCTGATTCACATTTAGTGCTCTTTTCATGAAGCAGTGTTATTTCCTTAGGAGGAGTTAATTCCATTTTGAAGACAATATTGATAGTGGAGAAGAAGTGAATTATAAGATGAGATCACTTTAATTATAAGCCAGAGAGCCAAAATAAGTTTAAGAATTTCATCTGAAATACCCCAATTTTCCAACTCCTCTGTACAAAAATTTCCATTTATATTTTAAATTAGGTTTATGTGGTAAATATTTTGTAATTTTTGTGAAGCACAGACTACCATTTGAACTTTGCTAAATAAGAACAGAGTTCAATTTACAGTTAATTCCGTATTGAAGAAGTTGGTGGTTTTTTTTTTTCAAGAATCATCAGAGAACTTAAAAGCATACTCTTACCCAGCCAAAGAGAATGCTTAAAATCATTTTCCTGAATAATTAGAGAAAGTGAAATCAGGTAAAAGAATATAAATGCATTCCTCTTGTAGACTTTTCTGGAAAAACAGCAGGAGGAACATTACAAAAGATCACTAAGAAAAATTACACAATGGAAAACCACTAGATAAGAAATGCCAGCTCTGCCAAGATTTGCTGTGTGGCTCTGAGTACATCACTTTACCAAGGTGAGCCCTTCTGCTTTCTTTGGTGTAATGAAGAAAATTGTCCTATTTTGTTCCAATTTACAAGGTTCCAGTGCATAAATTAAATGATATATGGGGAATAATTTGAAACATAAAACACTATGCATAAAGTACTGAAAAGAAGAATGTATTTATTATTACAAATTAAATATTTTGTGCATATTAATAAAGAAGAAGGTTTGTATTAGCAGATCTTCAAGGGAAAGAGCTGATATAGACATCTTAGGGAAACCATGAGTCCTCTCCTGAGTAGATTGTAATGACTCTTGTTATGTTGCCTACAATTCATTTTAAATATCTAGGCATAGATAGTGTAATAAAGTGGGTATAATTTAACTATAATCTACATGCTAGAATGGATTATTAACGTTGAAAGTATTGTAGTTAGGATAATTAGATAGCATTTGAAAGACTCTAATCAGTGTTGTGTATCTTCCAATAACAATGACTTCTAATTATGACATCCCCAACTGCAATAGAACAGAAGAGATACTTGAGATACTTTTCCCCCATTGTAAAGGTGATTTGAGAACTTGGTGAGCCAGCGCGCACTATCCTTCAAAGCGTGCCCTAGTCCTAGGACTCCTGTTCTTTCCCAGGGCCCCAAAGCAAAATAAAGGACTCACCTAATTTTAACCAGATGACTAGCTGATCCTCAAAACTACTGTCACATGGGCCTCCAAAGAACCTTTCATGAAAGGTCAATGACTGAAGGACACAGAGCTAAAACTTCACCTTGTTTAAAGAACACGTTGTTTGAATGTTTTTGTACCTTCTTGGTAATAAATTTGTTTATGCCACCTGTGTCTGTGACTTGATTTTGTTGTAATGTACCACTTGGCATGTTGCAAACTTGTTAAGGAGATTATTACTCGGAGAGCCACAATGTGAGTTCCTATTTTAAAGACTTCAAAGAATTTTTGAGGAATTAATGTGATTCCATCTTTTTTAATAAGAGACTCATGGAGCCTACTTTATCTCCCTTTTTACTTTGGTTTGCAGAAAACTCTAAGTTTGGTTTGATATTTGATTGGAAGTCCTCTGGGATGATCCAAACAGCCCACATTTTTGTTTTCTTCCTTTACGTGGTTTTGATTTTTTAAATTTTAGGCAAATTGCTCTACATTTTATTATTCTAATGGCTATTTATTTCATTTTTTATCTTAAGTCCTATATGTAAAAAGGATTAGAATTAAAAACATGCTTACAAATAAATTTATCATATAATATGAATTTACAATATTATAAATCCATAATTTATAATTATGGACTGCTGTAAGAAAATCCTGCGATAGTAAAAAAGATTACCTTTTCTCTACAAGCTTATTTTCACACTAAAAACTTAGAGAAATGACTGAACATTAGAAGCATCAGTATGAAAGTAAAATTTTTAATGAGTTGCAAATTATGGAAAAATAGAATGCTGTGCACATTTTTAATAAGGAATTTTATTAATGCACATCTATAATAAATGGCTTTCTCAAACAAAATTAGAATAAAAGTTCTCATTATACATCTTTTAAAATGTCTTTAATACTATGTTGTAATACTTAGTCTTTATAAATTTTCTAAACTTTGAAAAAACTTGATAAGCAAGTTTTTAAATCAATAAATTATTTTTTAATTGATAAAATATTTTCCTATCCCAACCACTTCCACCCTTCTCAGCCCCAAGCTAATGATAAATGCAGAATCAAGTGCAAGAAGTGCAAGAAAAGACTTAATATCACTTTGAAACTTAGGCTATTGTCCTTTAGGTGCTGAAATTCTTTTTTTGTAGAAATTCAGGAGATTGCATCCAAATGGGTTAAAGCCACTAACTGGTTAGCACTAACTTCCAATACCTGTGAAGTAGTTAGTGCCCAATTTGTTCCTTTAACATTTATTTCCTTTGTACCCCAAATCTTTGAGGTTGGAAATTAGGATTAATTTCTTAATCTTCATGTTGTAGTACTTATCATCTCTCTCATTAGTCTAATTTGAGTTAATTAGAATCTGTATTACTTCTCAATCTGTGTTATAGTAGAACAATTGAAAAGAGAGGCACAGACACAATTATGTTTTTTTTATTGTCTGGAGGAGACAGAAAGCCAGTGGGGCTTCCCTTATTAGGTTAATATCTACCTGACTTCAAAATGTTCCAGTGGTACAAATAGCAATGGGAGCCATTGCACTTTCCAAATTCCATCCCTCATTCCCTTGCCCTACCCCTTACAATCCAATTAATTCAAAGGTGATGGAAGAAGAGAAATGTTCTACATGTCAAAATGACAATGTCCATTACATGATTTACAGAATGAGTAGTATGTGTGATAGTCTGGGGTGAATTCATGTTTTTACTTTTAAAATAAATTCCCTTTTTGTCATGTTTCATTAAATCCCCCTTCAAATCAGTATGGATGAAGCATGTGCCTAAATAATCTCTTTTGATGACAACAGCGGTTTGATAAAAATGAGATTGAAACAAATATAAAACGTTGTGAATCTATTACCTCCAATTCCTTGATAATCTGGCAGTTGTGGTGTGGTTTGATACCCCAAGATGAAACTTTGCTTTTGAGTATAGGTTATGAAGCCAACTTTTATTGTAAAGGTAAGACACTCCATTCTTCAAAATCTATGTGGTTTAGGCCTGGTCTGAATTTCAATGAACAAATGTGCTATTTATAAAAACATCAAAAGAAAGGCATACTATTTGATATAATTAAATATACATGCCAGTTACTATAATCAAGTGAACTCTAAGGCTCCAATCCAATGACTGGAAATTAGTAACTGTTAAGAATATAATCAATATGAATGAGTCATTAATGTTTAACAAATAGAGGGTTTTTCTTAGAAAACACATAGGGACAAACAATATTCATTGTAAGTGTAGAAAGATCTTAAATTTCACTCCTTAAGAAAATTCTAGTTGAAAATCACCAAGAGCCATTAGAACATGAATAAATGTAAAACAAATGAAAAACAGATTTTAAGGTACCAAGATCAGGTGGTAGGAAACAAAATAAATGTCAGCTACTTAAGAAATCTACATTGAATAAGAAACTACTAATACTCTTCCAAAAGGGATATTAAGGAATTATCTTAAAGATATTCTCCTCAGAGCCCTCTAGATTCATAAAAGCACTAGCTAAGTTGTTTTTTCCTTAGTTTAAGTAAAGTATATAGAGTGAAAACAGTGTTTATTATTAACTAAAAATAGATTTTAATTGACTCTAATGCAAAGTTGTTTCTCAAAGGTAGCTGTTATTTTCAGGAATATTTTCAAGGGAGAACTTTTTTTCCGTAGGCTCACTTAGATAAGTTGTGAGAACAAAAATTCTAATAAATAAATTAGATTTGGGGAACACTACATAGCCACTACTTTTTTCACTCTTTTAAAACATATACATTAAATAACAAAACATGATTAAATATTTTTATTAGAAAACAAAATTTTGATTGAATTTTAGAAGCCCAAAATATGGTTGAATTATTTCCTTTTATTATAATCTGTTTTTAGCCTATAAATGTTACATTAACTTTTAGTTGCAATGTATATGCCTATGGGGCTGCCTCACAAGTTATGAGTTGTAATT